TACACACAATACCCCATAATGACAAAGCAAAAACAGGTTTTTGAAATGTTAGCAAATTTATTAAAAATAAAAAACGGAAATATTACATTTACATAAGTATTCAGACCCTTTACTCAGTACTTTGTTGAAGCACCTTTGGCAGCGATTACAACCTAGAGTCTTCTTGGGTATGACGCTACAAGCTTGGCACACCTGTATTTGGGGAGTTTCTCCCATTGTTCTGCACAGCTATTTTCAGGTCTCTCCAGAGATGTTAGATCGGGTTCAAGTCCGGGCTCTGGCTGGACCACTCAAGGACATTCAGAGACTTGTCCCGAAGCCACTCCTGCGTTGTCTTGACTGTGTGCTTAGGGTCGTTGTCCTGTTGGAAGGTGAACCTGCGCCCCAGTCTGAGGTCCTGAGCGCTCTGGAGCAAGTTTTCATCAACGATCTCTTTGTACTTTGCTCCGTTCATCTTTGCCTCGATCATGACTAGTCTCCCAGTCCCTGCCACTGAAAAACATCCCCACAGCATGATGCTGCCACCACCATGCTTCCCCGTAGGGATGGTGCCAGGTTTCCTCCAGACGTGACGCTTGGCATTCAGGCCAAAGAGTTCAATCATTGGTTTTATCAGTTCAGAGAATCTTGTTTCTCATTGTCTGAGAGTCTTTAGGTGCCTTTTGGCAAACTCCAAGCGGGCTGTCATGTGCCTTTTACTGAGGAGTGGCTTCCGTCTGGCCACTCTACCATAAAGGCCTGATTGGTGGAATGCTGCAGAGATGGTTGTCCTTCTGGAAGGTTCTCCCATCTCCACAGAGGAACTCTGGAGCTCTGTCAGAGTGACCATCAGGTTCTTGGTCACCTCCCTGACCAAGGCCCTTCTCCCACAGTTGCTCAGTTTGGCTCAAACTTATTCCATTTAAGAATGATGGAAGCCACTGTGTTCTTGGGGACCTTCAATGCTGCAGAAATGTTTTGGTACCCTTCGCCAGATCTGTGCCTCGACACAATCCTGTCTCGGAGCTCTAAGGACAATTCCTTCGACCTCATGGCTTGGTTTTTGCTCTGACATGCACTGTCAACTGTGGGACCTTATATAGACGGGTGTGTGTGCCTTTCCAAATCATGTCCAATCAATTGAATTTACCACAGCTGGACTCCAATCTAGTTGTAGAAACATATCAGGGATGATCAATGGAAACAGGATGCAGCTGAGCTCAAGTTCGAGTCTCATAGCAAAGGGTCTGAATATTTATGTAGGTGAGGGGGGAGAATACCAGAGATGGAGAGAAGGAGGAAGAACACCAGAGATGGAGAGAGGATAGAGAGATGGAGGAAGAACACCAGAGATGGAGAGAGGATAGAGAGATGGAGGAAGAACACCAGAGATGGAGAGAGGATGGAGAGATGGAGGAAGAACACTAAAGATGGAGAGAGGATAGAGAGATGGAGGAAGAACACCAGAGATGGAGAGAGGATAGAGAGATGGAGGAAGAACACCAGAGATGGAGAGAGGATGGAGAGATGGAGGAAGAACACCAGAGATGGAGAGAGGATAGAGAGATGGAGGAGAAGAGAGAAAACAAACAGAGCAGGATGAGTGTGTGGAGGTCAGGCAGGGGGCGTGACCTTAATGAACCCTGAGTCAAGCTCACTATGAGTGTGCATGGACAATAGTCCTATAGGCATCACTTTTAGAACTATTTAAAAGTGATTTAAAAGTGTATTTCCAGGTAAATGTCCAAAAATGTCATTTTGGCTCGGCTAGCTTGGCTGGCTCCTTCTGGGTTTAATCATTAAATAGTTGTTAGTCTCTCTTTCCTGTCCTGGCTGTGGGGTTTATTCCCCTGGTGTTCCTGTGGCCGGGGCTGGGTTAACATTGGACCTGGCTGTAGAACAGGTGGAATAACTAATTAGCTATGTCCTTGCCTTCCTGCATGTGTTTGTGTGTTAAAGAAAGAGGCTGAGCATTGAGCACCACCGGTCCCCATCCAGTCTCATGCCTGTACCCCAGCTTCCTCTCCCCCAACCTGGCCCTGCATGCTGGCCCCTGGCCATAGATCCTGGAGCCTGGCTCTATAAGCCTGGAAGTCTCTGGAAGTCCGCTCACACACAAATACACCCACGAACACACACACACTGGCTCTATGAGTCGGCAAATCCCTGGAAGCGGAAGGCTTAGCAGCCCCAGTTGGCCCCCTACTAGAGCCCAGATATAATTAACCTCAAGGGGGCAACTTAAGGAGATCCACCCTGTCTGAAGCCTGGTGGTGCCTAGCCTGGACCGGACCGGACCAGACCAGGGCTGCGTCCCAAATAGCACCCTATTCCCTATATAGTGCACTACTTTTGACCAGGGCCCATAGGGTCATAGCCCAAATTAACGAGTGAGAACCAGGGGAGGGGATACCAGGCCGGACCTAGACCGTGACCTGTCCACCCTACACCCTTCCTGGGGTGGAGTCAGGCATTGACTGGGGTGGGGAGGAATGGATGTGGAGGAGACGGCATTGTATGGTTGGGTCCAGAGCCCAGGTTCACTAACGGGAAATGTCTCATGTATGAAAAGCTCTTTATTAATGAAGTTATTGTAAAACAAACCATTAGGAGACAGACTCTACAGCTGTGAGTTTTATTGTGATTAAGAGTGACAGGGAGGAGAAGGAGGAAACACTTCCATGGCCAATACTCCACAGTGGACAGAAAGTGAGTGACCTCATTGATCCCCAGTCTGTCCAGCTTCCATATACTGGGCAGTGAGAGTCCCTGTTTACCGTCCTTCAGTCCATCCACCTCAGATGACAGTCATTCAGGGATCTTCCAGTGTGACGCTCTCTCTCCAGTAGGCTGGTATAAAGACACAGCTGTGGTGTGCTGTTAATCCCTATCGACGCATCGCAATGACACACCACTCCTCGCCATACACGAACACACACAGAGCAATGTGTGTGTGTGTGTGTGTGTGTGTGTGGTGTGTGTGGTGTGTGTGTGTGTGTTGTGTGTGTGTGGTGTGTGTGTGTGTTGTTGTGTGTGGTGTGTTGTGTGTGTGTGTGTGTGTGTGTGTGTGTGTGTGTGTTTGCTGCTGTGTGTGTACTGTGAGTGTGTGTTTTTGGTGTTTTTTATTAAGTGGACCCAACACACACACCCGTCCCACTTAACGGGCCACCTTGATTTCTCAGGGGTTATTTATTCCAAGGTCAGATGGACAGACGCAACGGTCATTAAACGGGTTGGCAGGGTATTCAGGGGGTTGGCATGGTATTCAGGGGGTCGGCATGGTATTCAGGGGGTTGGCATGGTATTCAGGGGGTTGGCATGGTATTCAGGGGGTTGGCATGGTATTCAGGGGGTTGGCATGGTATTCAGGGGGTCGGCAGGGTATTCAGGGGGTTGGCATGGTATTCAGGGGGTTGGCATGGTATTCAGGGGGTTGGCATGGTATTCAGGGGGTCGGCAGGGTATTCAGGGGGTTGGCATGGTATTCAGGGGGTTGGCATGGTATTCAGGGGGTCGGCAGGGTATTCAGGGGGTTGGCATGGTATTCAGGGGGTTGGCATGGTATTCAGGGGGTCGGCATGGTATTCAGGGTGTTGGCATGGCTGGAGATGCATTGCTATAAGACAGGGGAGGCCTTCTCTGAGTTGCTGCTTCAGGAGTGTGTGTATAATGGAGGGTTTTGACAGGAGGCCTTCGCCGAGGGGCATTGACGTGGGTCCAACTCATGCCATTAACTGTGGGCTCAAGAGATGCCAGCCTAGTGCATTAGCAACACTGTGGACTTTTGGCCAGGAGAAACGGAAGTGATTTCTCCATCTTGGAAGGATGGGTGGAGACACAGAGGAAGGCTCTGAGGGAGGGATTTGGTTCTGTGTGTAACAGAGAGGGCTTGAGTACAGGATTATGTCTAGAATGTTGTTAGACTTGACATTCCACCACTGCTACGCAGATGATTGTGAAGCTGGGTCCTTGTTTCTCTGTCTCGCCAAAGATGGTTCCTTGTGTGTCTGTTACATAGAGTGTGTTGTTCATGGTGGCGTTTCTGTTTCTGTGAGTGTGTTCTGTGAAAGTGTGTGTGTGTGTGTGACTGCACCACTCACCTGTTTCTCAGTGTGTGTGCGGGCAGCTTCCTCCTGAGCCAGCACCATCTCTCTCTCTGCTGTGATCTGGACACTCTCTCTCAGAGCCTCCTCCAGCTCCTCTATGCGGTCCTCCTTCTGGCGAAGGGAGTCCTGGGGAACACAGATACACAAAGAATTAGGGAGAGGTAGCGGCCTGTATGGAAAGAAACATACACACACATGTCCTGGAGAAAACAGACCCATATTTTATATATACCTTCATATGAACTTGAACTATTCTAGTTAGTATAATTGTTATGCTATGGACACGCAGATAAATGTGTTGCGGTGGGAAATTGAAAACACTGGACAGGACTGGAAGCCAGAGAGTCACAAAGTCAGTAAGGTCACCAGTGTGGTCGCGATGGCTTAGAGAAGCAAAACCCCCAATACATATCTCCACACTGACTCACACACAGTCTATTCTCTATGGCTGATGATAGGTGAGTCAGCCCAGTGGCTGTTAAGTCTGTCTGTTGGTTCTGTCTGTCTGTTGGTTCTGTCTGTCTGTTGGTTCTGTCTGTCTATTGGTTCTGTCTGTCTATTGGTTCTGTCTGTTTGTTGGTTAAGTCTGTCTGTTGGTTCTGTCTGTCTATTGGTTCTGTCTCTGTTGGTTCTGTCTGTCTGTCTGTTGGTTCTGTCTGTCTATTGGTTCTGTCTGTCTATTGGTTCTGTCTGTCTATTGGTTCTGTCTGTTTGTTGGTTAAGTCTGTCTGTTGGTTCTGTCTGTCTATTGGTTCTGTCTGTCTATTGGTTCTGTCTGTCTGTTGGTTCTGTCTGTCTGTTGGTTCTGTCTGTCTATTGGTTCTGTCTGTCTATTGGTTCTGTCTGTCTATTGGTTCTGTCTGTTTGTTGGTTAAGTCTGTCTGTTGGTTCTGTCTGTCTATTGGTTCTGTCTGTCTATTGGTTCTGTCTGTCTGTTGGTTCTGTCTGTCTATTGGTTGTGTCTTGTCTGTCTGTCTGTCTGTCTGTCTGTCTGTCTGTTGGTTCTGTCTGTCTGTTGGTTCTGGTTCTGTCTGTCTGTTGGTTCTGTCTGTCTGTTGGTTGTGTCTGTCTATTGGTTCTGTCTGTCTTGGTCTTTTTTGTTCTGTCTGTCTGTCTGTCGTCTGCTGTCGGTCTGTCTGTCTGTCTGTCTGTCTGTCTGTCTGTCTGTCTGTCTGTCAGTTGGTTCTGATTATGTCTGTCTGTCTGTTGGTTCTGTCTGTTTGTCTGTCTGTCTGTCTGTCTGTTGGTTCTGTGTGTGTGTGTATGTGTGTGTGTGTGTGTGTGTGTGTGTGTGTGTGTGAGGGGTCAGAGCCTGGAGGCTTGGCGATGCCAGAAGTGTCAGACCTTCATTCAGACCTTAACTACAGGGGAAATGAAGTGTGAATGTTGTACAGTATGTAATATAATGTCATGTAATATAATGCAAATCAAGCTTTCCTCTCTCTGTTCACTGGAGCCCCTAACGGAAGACCTCTCTCCTTCCCGGCCGGCCCTTTCAACACTGTGTACCTCTCTCTCTCTCTCTCTCTCTCCTCTCCTCTCCTCTCGCATCGATCTCTCTCTCTCACTCGACTCTCGCTCTCTCGGTACATGTACGATCCTCTCACTCTCTCTCTCCTCTCTCGTCCAAGGTCAATACTCTCTGTCTCTCGTCTCTCTACCCTCTCTCGCTCTCGTGTCACTCTCTCTCTCTCTCTCTCTCTCTCTACTCTCTCATCACCCACACAACATTATGTATGTTAGTACATCGTACCATGATGACGTCCACTTTTGAGTAACGGTGAATTTCTTTGGTGACTGTGAGTCCATCCAAGATCCACCAACTTTATTGGCAGGTGGGGCATGTGCAGTCTGTGTTGGGGGGGCAGCATGGTTGTATGTCTCAGGTCGGGTGTTGTGGGGGGCAGCATGGTTGTATGTCTCGTCTGTGTTGGGGTGGGGCACATGGTTTTAATGTCCTCAGCCCTGTGTTGGGGGGCGCAATGGTTGTATGTCTCAGTCTGGGGTTGGGGGGGCAGCATGGTTGTATGTTCAGTCGTGTTGGGGGGGCAGCCTGGTTGTATGTCTCAGTTGGGGGTTGGAGGGGCCAGAAGGTTTTATGTCCAGTCTGTGTTGGTGGGGGCAGCATGGTTGTATGTCTCAGTCTGTGTTGGGGGGGGCAGCATGGTTGTATGTCTCAGTCTGTGTTGGTGGGGGCAGCATGGTTGTATGTCTCAGTCTGTGTTGGGGGGCAAGCCATGGTTGTATGTCTCAGTCTGTGTTGGAGGGGGCAGCATGGTTGTATGTCTCAGTCTGTGTTGGTGGGGGCAGTATGGTTGTATGTCTCAGTCTGTGTTGGTGGGGGCAGCATGGTTGTATGTCTCAGTCTGTGTTGGTGGGGGCAGCATGGCTGTATGTTTCAGTCTGTGTTGGTGGGGGCAGCATGGTTGTATGTCTCAGTCTGTGTTGGTGGGGGCAGGCATGGCTGTATGTCTCCTGAGCTGTTTTTGCCGTTTCTTTGTGCTCCTCTCCTCCTCCTCTGTACACCGCTCTGGCAGAGCTGCCGCCAGGTGGAACGGTTGGCAGCAGCGTCCTCTAGGTCAGTGGGTTTGATGTTGCACTTCTTCAGCTGCGTTTTCAGCTGGTCCTTGTAGCGCTTCATCTGTCCCCCTGCAGACCGCCGGCCAACATGTAGCTGGCCATACAGGATCTTCCGCAGCAAGCGCTCCTGAGACATCCTAATGACGTGCCCAAGCCAGCGCAGTTGGTGTCAGGTGACCATGGCCTCCATACTCTTGCAGTTGGTCTTAGCAAGTATTTCTGTATGGGGCACACGGTCGCACCAGGTGATTCCCAGGATGCACTGCAGGCATCTTATGTGGAATCGCTCAAGCTGCTTGTTGTGGTGACTGTAAGTGACTCAGGCTTCACAGCTGTAAAGAAGTGTGGTGATGCAGACGGCTTGATAGAACAGCCGTAAAGAAGTGTGGTGATGCAGACGGCTTGATAGAACAGCTGTAAAGAAGTGTGGTGATACAGACGGCTTGATAGAACAGCTGTAAAGAAGTGTGGTGATGCAGACGGCTTGATAGAACAGCTATAAAGAAGTGTGGTGATGCAGACGGCTTGATAGAACAGCTGTAAAGAAGTGTGGTGATGCAGACGGCTTGATAGAACAGCTGTAAAGAAGTGTGGTGATGCAGACGGCTTGATAGAACAGCTGTAAAGAAGTGTGGTGATGCAGACGGCTTGATAGAACAGCTGTAAAGAAGTGTGGTGATGCAGACGGCTTGATAGAACAGCTGTAAAGAAGTGTGGTGATGCAGACAGCTTGATAGAACAGCCGTAAAGAAGTGTGGTGATGCAGACGGCTTGATAGAACAGCTGTAAAGAAGTGTGGTGATGCAGACGGCTTGATAGAACAGCTGTAAAGAAGTGTGGTGATGCAGACGGCTTGATAGACTGTGACTTCGGTGTGGAGGTGGAGAGGCTGTGTTGGAAGACCCTGCGTCTGAGTTTCCCTAAGGCAGCTGATGCTTGCTTGATCCCATTTTGAATTTCGAGGTCGATGCTGCAGTCCTCCGAGAGGATGCTGCCCAGGTATTTGAAGGACGGGACTATTGCCAGGGATTTGTGTTCAATGGTGAAGACAGGCATGGTGGGTTGAGGGCTGGATCTCCATTGGCAGACCACCTCTGTCTTGGTGGTGTTAATAGACAGTTCCTTCCTGCTATAGACCCTCACAGCCGCTACAAGGACGGACTGAAGGTCTTCTGGACTGTGGGCCACAAGAGCACAATCATCAGCATACTGCAGCTCAAGAACCCGCTCCGTCAAAACCTTGGTGGTTGCTTGGAGCCTCCTGATGTTGAATAGGTTTCCATCCAGCCTGAAGTCCACCGCAACCCCGCTGCTGTCCTCAAGCTCCTTGTGGAGAAGCTGGGTGACACATAGGAGGAAGATGTGAAAGAGTACAGGTGACAGCACACACCCCTGCCTCACACCGATGCTTACTCCAAAAAGCACTGACTCCTGCTCTCCTATGGCCACCCGAGCCATCATCCCATCATGGAACTGGCAAAGGATGTTGACAAATCTGTCTGGACAGCCACATTTGAGTAGAATGCCCCATAGTAGTTCCCTGCTCACAGTGTCAAAGGCCTTGGAGAGGTCGACAAAGAATATTAAAAGGTCCTGATGTTGTTTACTGCACTTCTCCTGGAGTTGCCGTGCCGTGAATATCATGTCGACCGTACTCCTGTTCTTTCTGAAGCCGCATTGTGACTCTGGCAGGTGTTCCTCTGTGATGTTGTCCACCAGCCTGTGTAGCATCACCTTGGTCAGGATGGGATCCCCACCCGGCTATTGCCTCAGATTGACTTGTCACCCTTGTTCTTATAGATGGTGACAATGTTTGCATCCTGCCGCTGTTGGGGGACGATCTCACTCACAATCAGCTTTTTCAGTCCTCTCAACCACATTCATCTTTTTTTAAAAGACAGCCTCACAGAGATTATCTCTCTCTCTCTCCCTTTCTAAAACCACACCACCATCTTCCCTCCTTTCCTCCGCTTATTTGCTTAGCTCTACTCCTCCTCCTCCTCCTCCTCCTGCTCTCCTCCTCCTCCTCCTCCTCCATCCTCCTCCTCCTGCTTTCCTCCTCCTCCTCCTCCTGCTTTCCTCCTCCTCCTGCTTTCCTCCTCCTCCTCCTCCTCCTCCTCCTCCTCTTCCTCCTCCTCCTCGGAGTGCTATTTGAGTGTTTCTGACTAGGAACCTCAGGGAGGGAACCAGCTGCATCTGTCCCAAATCAAACTGCATATTTGTGTTCATGAATGTTCTGCCACTGAAATGACATATTACTGGAGGGGAGGTGAGGGTTAGGGCGGACACACATACACAGATGGATACACACACACACACACACACACACAGATGGATACACACACACACACGAGGAGATGAGGGATGAGACGAGAATAGACAATGTGGCGTGTGGTGAACCTCTCGAAAACATCTTGAAACATCTTGAAACATCTCGAAAACATCTTGAAA